AGCGTCGACCCTGATCCAGGGGCTGTCTACCGTAGGCGATGGCGCATAGTTATACACCCTCGTCAACGGTATGACGGGAGAGGAAGATGGCGACGTCCGTCTTGAGGCTATGCCTGCAGATAATGCTCTTCTTGAGCTGGACGTGATGTCCCTTGAAGATTTTTGGCAGTGCCTTGAAGGCAGGTGATTTGGCCGAAGTGGTCATTGAACGACCGGAAGCGGAGGATACCAAGAAAGTGCTGAACGCACGAAGTGGATCTTCGATCCTTTGGAATCCCTTGGGATCCCTTGGATTCGTACTATTCTTTGGTAAATTAATCTCAAGACGTCTTCTCCAAAGACCCGCCTTCAGTCCTACCTCCAAACCGAGGTGTGCGTCATGAGATCGACCTGGATTCAGGATCCAAGTACTGCGTAACGCGCCAATGGCCCCTGCCCAAGGAGCAGTGAGACGTCGTTGACGTCTTTTTCCGTGCGAAGCATGATACAGGGGTGGTACGTGAGAGCAAGTCTCCCCATTCGACACCCGCGTTTTGGGTTCGGAAGCCTAAAGGCAAGTGGCGTATCGGTCATGGTTACAATAAGCTCAACGCTGCCATCACTCCGGCACAGACGTCGATTCCTCGCAAGGCTGTTATTTGAAGCAACATGGTGGGATGCACAATGTACAGTGCACTCAACTTGGTCGATGGCTATTACCAATTGCTCATGAGAGAGAGCGATATTCCGCTTACAGCGGTGTGCACTCAGAGCGGCATGCTTCGTGAGTGGCTGGTGATGCTCCAATGACTATCAAATGCATTAGCAACATTTAATCGTCATATGACGCAGTTTTCAGGCCCCACAGAGCGTATGCACAGACATACTTTGACGACATTTTTGCTCACAGTCGTGCGGAGCACGGGAGGACGGATGAGGAGAACCACATCGTCCATCTAAGAGCGGTGCTCGAGTGCATGCGAACGACCAAACAGTACGCCAATGCAGACAAGTGCATCTTTGGCGCAGAAGAGTTTGCATTTATAGGGTGCTTCTTTGGGAAGCGTGGCCTTTGAGGGTATCCAGCTAGAATCAAAGCCATTGTAGACTGGCCGGTTCCAAAGAACCAGAACAACTTACGTAAGTAGCTTGGTCTCGCCAGTTTCTTGCACATGTACAGCGTAAATTACGAAATTCCCCGGCCATTATCCAATCTCCCTGAAAGAGTGCGGAATGGTGTTGGAACACCGAACATCAGGAGGCCTTTGACGGGGTCAAATACAGCCTCCGGCATGCACCAATACTGGCACTGCCAGGCTCTGATCGTCTTTTCAGCATCGTCTGTGACGCTTCGAACTTTGCCATCGGATGTGCACTGCTGCAAGCAGACGCCAAGGGGAGGGATCGGGTGATCGCGTTCGAATCTCGACAGCTCAAAGCTGCAGCGAAGAAGTACCCAGTTCATGACAAGGAGCTACTTGCGATGAAGTATGCACTTGAAAAGTTCAGGGTCCACCTGCTCGGCTCAAAGTCGTTAGTGATCTATACAGATCATTCGTTACTACGCACTGCAACTCAGTCGCCTCACCTCTCAAAGAGATTGGCTAGATGGTTATCCTGCTTTGCAGAATTTAACTTTGAGGCGAAGTATAAGCCGGGAAAGCAGTTTGCTTTGGCTGATGCGTTGTACCTCATACCGGA